GTAGTAAAAGTATTATAACCAAATGTCAACAAATGATTTTTTAAATTTGTTTTTATGATAATTATTAAATAAATAAATATATAAATACATTTTAAATACGTAAAAATATATAAATGTAATAAATACATATAGAAAAAATATTTATATGTTTTTAGATGTATTTATTATATTTTTATGTTTTTTTACGTGTTTATACGTATTTAAAATGTATTTATATATTTATTTAATAAGATTGATAAAAACGAATTTAACAAACCATATGTTGATTTTCGCTTATAATACTAATAATAATAATATTAATAATAATTTTAATATTAATAATAATAATAAGAAATTGTATTTCAAGTTTGACAAGTAACATGTGTTGGGTTTTAAGCACTATAACACTCCTATGGTGTACATGCAACCCTAGATGCTTTGGATTTATGTTTTCTCTAATTATACATGCAATTTCAATTTTCCAAAGCATACATCCTAACTAGCATACAATGGAGTATATACAATATAAAACTCATAGTTAGATGAATACCTCTTGATGTAGTTGTAGTTTTTGGCCTTAGAAAGCTTTAGCACCTCAAGTGTGATGCCTTTAATGTGTCACAAACACCAAATACAAGAGGAGACTTGAGAGAATAGCTAGTTAGCACAAAATCGATTATCACTCTCTTATAATGAATGGGGCAACCGATTTTGGCTCCAGGGGGTTGCTTTTATAGTGTTACAAAGGGTAGGGTTTCATCCATGCAAACCCTAATGCACCATGACCTTTCATATTACTTAGGCTCCATGGGTTAAACCTCCATGGACTTTCATATTGGTTTAGCCCATCCTAATTAACCATAGATCATTGGCCCACACTGTAAGAATCATTGATTTACTTAATCAGTCCCTGTATATTTAATTAGTCTCTTTTGATCACTAAATTAATTCCAAATTAATTCTTGATCAATACTAATTAAATAATATGATTTCTCAATTAATATATTATACTTATAATATATTAATAAATCACAAATAACCTTATTCTCAAAAGTCCATCCTATCAAGTTGCACTGGTGAAGGCAACCCAAAAGGACCATGCTACTATCGGGTCAAGTACATCCCAGTTATAGTTATGAACTTAGATACCTAATCCAACAGTCTCCCACTTAGATAAGTCTAATAACTATAACTGCCAATGCAACTTCAAAATCCGATAGCAATCGTAGCTTTCCAAAGCCGTTGTCGAACTCTGACCTAGTCAGTGACGCGTCCTTTAGATAAGGGATCATATACTCCTTTGTTCTTCAAGATATCATGCGGACAAATAGATGGAACATAGTCATACTTATTGTCCTGCAGTTTGTTTCCCGATTTCCGATTTGTCTGACATAGAACATAATTGAACACATCAATTTAGTTCTGACCGGGCCCGTCACATAAGTCAAAACAAAATCATCGAGGGGCCCAAGATATCACTTTTAATCCTCTTAGGATAAAAGGAACAGATAAACTTCGACATTATATGCTTGTACTAACTACTCGTTAAATCATGCACAACGATACGTTTTATAACATCAAGTTACTGATGTGTTTTCGTATCATCAATGCACAACCAACTCGTAGTCAACAACTCATATATCTTGGTTTGAAGACTATATGATATTATCGTAGGACGGGTGCAGATTTGAATCCCGCACCTCTTATTTTTTTTTTGGGTAAATTACACCAATGGTCCCTATGGTTTGGGGTAATTTGCACGTTTAGTCCCTAACTTATTTTTTAACTCGGAAGGTCCCTACTGTTTTTTTTGTTGCGCACTTGGTCCATGTCTTACCTAAAAAGACTATTTTGTCCTTGATTTTTTTAATTAATTTAAATAAATACACCCCCAACCTCACTTCCAGCTCACCTTACCTTACCTTACATACCCCACCTTATTTAAATAAATTAAAAAATCAAGGGCAAAATAGTCATTTTAGGTAAGACAGGGACCAAGCGCGCAACAAAAACAAATTGTAGGGACCTTCCGAGTTAAAAACATAAGTTAGAGACCAAACACGTAAATTACCCCAAATCATAGGGACCATTCGTGTAACTTACTCTTTTTAAAAAAAATCCAACATTTAGTTGTTATATGAAAGAGTTAAGGATTTTAAAAAACAAAAATGTTCAGCTGAATTGGTAAGACGTTAACCTTGTATGAAGTAGGTAGCGGGTTCAAAACTTCCTTCCTATATTTTCGCAAAAAAAAATCAAATTTTTTATTCCTAAGGAAGGCGCTAACGTGACATTCCACGTCAACTTCCATGTCATGTCAAATCATTAGTGCTTTCCACCTTGGAATGCCACATGGGCAAGTGAGCTGCTGAAAGGGTCAAAAAAGATCAAAGTGAAAGAATTATTAGATTTCTTGGGTTTTTCTATTAAAAAAATTAGACTTTTTTGAAACTTTTTCCAAAAGTTTGGGACTTATCTGGAGATTTCTCAAACCCTAAACGACGAAGATAAAAAAAACATAATCGGTTACTTGGAGAAAATCGAAAAACATGGAAGAAGAACGGAAAACAGCGTTGAAGATCAAAAACCGAAATTAAAGTGGCGAAAATGATTACCTCTAAAACCATACTATTCACAAAGGAACCTCAGTGATTTAGGCACCGTTCGAATCTAATACCTTCGTCACGGTCGGTATCACCAGCTACGTCGCACAATCTTCATGAGAGATTAAGCCTATGATTTTGTGTTAGGCGAAGGAAATAGAAAATTGCAGGGTTAAAATCATATACTTTTGAAGATAGTATATGAGGTTAAAATTTGAGATAGACGAGATGAAAGCAAAGGATAATGGTTAGAAATTACCAAGAAAGAATGAAAAACGGATTGAATTCGGATAGCAACCCATTCTTTCCTAACAAACATGAAATCTTTAGAAAGAATCGACGACGTCGGGTGTGGCAAATACAGAACCGCCAACGACAGTTGTGCGGATGCGGACTCGGTGGCGACGGCTGTAGCCAGAATCGAAGAAGAAAACATGAAATTGGACATATCGCAGGCGACGTCGGAGGTGGGGACCTTCTAATTTTGTTGGCATTTGACATAAATCGAGGTCTTGTGGAAACATTGTGAACTCGAAAAAGGATTAAGCAGTAGTGATTAGGCAGATGAGAGAACCGACATAAACATTCGTAGGTCGATTGGAGAGAACACGTATCGATTGATAATATTTTTATTCGTAACCTTGGAAATCCTTCTATTTCAACCGCACAAATTACACAATCATTTAAAAAACCATCCAAAAATTCGATTCGCATATTCGATTTTACAAGATTCATCGCGAATAAACATCTCTCCACCGTTGCGATTGCAACCTGCAAGAGTAATGACAACTTCACTAAACGGTAAATCAAAGGATATAAAAGATGCATCTTGGTTTCCACCATCACTTTAGCAATGCCGTATATATTCTTTAAAGTAGCAAATCTTCCATCTTGTTGCATATGAGTGGGGTAAACCGAAAGTTCATGTAGAATGTGTAACGCCCGCAACTTCTAGCAAGACATTTGAGATATAATAAGTAATCATTATTATAATTTAAAACCCTCGATAGAGAAATCGTTAGTCGTGCGCGTTTCAAACTACATATTATAAGCATTTTTATGGATTTATCGATAAGTGATAAAATAACTTTTTCGATAGAAGATTATTTAATAATCTTGATGAAGTTGTAGTTGTAACAATCGGAAATTCCCCAAGGTATTTTATATATATATATATATATATATATATATATATATATATATATATATATATATATATATATATATCAGTGTTGTAAAAATCGACCTAGGCGGCCGCCTAGGCGCTTGGCGGAGGTAAACTGTATAGGATTTTTGATAAGCGTTGCAATTAATCGGAATCGGTCAAAGGCGGAAAATGGCGGTCTAGGCGGTCAAAATAGGTCAACATAAGTCAACTAAAAAAAGTCAAAATTAAACCTTTTTTCTTAACCTAATCGACTAAAAGAAATACAACCTTCATTCTTCGTCTTGTTTTTTTGCGCCTCCTTCATCTCGTTCTCTTCTCCAGCGATCGACTATCGCAACTTCACACCTACACCTACACCAACGTTATTCGACTTCGGCGACAAGGGTTAATCGATTCCGGCTACAGCATTCTCCATCAGACACCGACACATGAGACGACTACGCATCGCAGATTCGCACTCGCAGGTATGTTTCTGATTTTTGCGATTTAATTGTTATTCAACTTATGTCCTGATGAATGTGTTGTATCAGTGTGATTATCGTGATTTCTAATCATCGCTGCAACTTATTCCGACCACACCTTCGAGTCCAAACAATTCAATCTGTCGATTCTGGATTTCTCACCATCGACTTTGACCAGCTGTCATCGGTAAGTTTTTCCCTTGGTTTCGGTTTTTCATTCCTGTTTTGGTTTGCTTACGAACATAAGAACATACATGCTGCATAATGGTCCAACTATTTTGGTTTGGGTTTTCCTTCCTGTGTTTTGATTTTTGCCCCTGTTTCATAAGCGATCATACAAGCTGGACCATTTTGCCCCTGTTTCAATCCTAATTTTTGCCCATGTTTCATTCCAGCTTTTTCATGCCTGTTTCATTCCAGTTTTTTCATTCCTGTTTTAAGTCATTAACCCTTTATTAAACTAAACAGATTATGAGATACATAATTGTTGTTTCATATTACTGGAACAAGTTATTTCAAAACAGATTACACTCCTTTACACAGATTAAAGGTTATTTCAAGTTATTTTCTGCCCATGTCTCATTACCATTTCTTTCAAATTTTCACAGATTAAAGGTTGTTAATGGCATCTAAAAATTCAGCTACACGATCAATGGATTCAACAGCTACTGGTTTTAAGAGGAATTCAAATGATATTGCTTGGGAATTTGCTATTTGCCCAGATCCTACAAACTTGGATAAATTGAAGTGTACATTGTGTGGAAGAGTTTATAGTGGGGGGTTTCAAGAATGAAACAACATATTGCTCATGTGAAAGGAAATGTAGCTCCATGTCAAAAGTCTACCAAAGATGATCAGTTGAGATGTCGAGATGCTATCAATGAAGGAAAGTTAAAAAAGAAGGGAAAACAAGCACATGATGAAGCGTTAAGATCGGAGGTGAGATTTGATACTAATGAAAACATTAGTATAGACACGGATGAAATAGAGAATACTTTTGGGAGCTTGAGGGAACCATATGTTATAGGCCCGATGGATAACTTTGCAAGCACATTAAACCCCGAAGAATCTTTGAAGTCGGGAAAAGGCAAAAAAGTTTATATTAACAATGCTATTCGGAAAGAAAGAATATCAACTGTGAAAAGTTTCATTGGTAGGTGGGCATATGAGTGTGCAATTCCTTTTCATGCCTTCGAAAAGGATAGCTTTAAAATGATGGTGGAGGTAATTGGCCAATATGGAACCGGGCTTCCAACTCCTACTAGGTATGAGTTGAGTAACACAATTTAAAAAAAAAGAAGTTGAAAGAACAAAAAATTTAGTGAAAAAAATGAAGAAGAATGGAAACAAGATGGATGCTCGATTATGACGGATGCTTGGTCTGATAGAAAGAGGAGGAGCATTGTGAATTTATGTGTCAATGACTCAATTCAAAGATGGGTACCATTTTTATCTTCAAAAGAATGTTCGGATGAAGCACATACAAGTCAACATATATATATGAGTATGTGGAATCTTGCATTCAAGAAGTTGGTCCCGAACATGTTGTTCAAATAGTAACCGATAATGCCACGAATAACATGGGAGCCGCAAAGTTGCTAAAAGAGAAAAGACCAAAGATTTTCCGGACATCATGTGCGACACATACCATTAACCTTATGCTTGAAGGTATTTATAATTTTATTTATTGTGTTTTATAATTCTATTTGTGTTTTTAATCGTGATTATTTTTTGAAGGTATTGGTGGGCTTCCAAGGTTCAAGAAAGTCTTAGATCAAGAAAAGCAACTAACCATCTTCATTTATGCCCACCACAAAACATTAGCTATGATGAGAAAATTCACTAACAAAAGGGATATCATCCGACCGGGTGTTACGAGATTTGCTTCCGCCTATCTAACATTACAAAGTTTGTCTGAAAAAAAAGAGCAACTAAGGCATATGTTCTCTAGCAACAAATGGGAGGAATGTAAATTTTCAAATGCAGTTAAAGGGAGATCTAGTCATACATTGGTGACAGGTTCCACATTTTGGGCGGGTGTGGTACTTTGCTTAAAGGTGTTTTCCCCTTTGGTGAAAGTCCTTCGTATGGTTGATGCGGATTGGAAGCCCTCGATGGGTTTTGTTTATGGTGAGATTCAAAAAGCAAAAAAAGAAATCATTGATGCTTTAGGCGGTAACAAAAAAGCATATGAGCCTATCATAAATATCATATCAAAGAAAATGAAAGGTAGACTAGATTCAAAATTGCATTTGACGGCTTATCTTCTAAATCCTTATTATCATTATAAGGATCCACAACTCCAACATGATCCCGAAGTAATGGATGCGGTTCTTGAGTTTTTTGATACATTATTTTTCCGGAGATTTAGAGATGCAAAAGCAAGTCGTGACTATTGAGTTGCCAAAGTACAAGAAAAAAATGGATAGATTTGGTCGGGAACTTGCAGTTAAAGTGTAGAGACCCATTTTTATAACGAACGGTGAGTGCGGAAGAAGGATATCTCGAGATTAATCGTGTTTTTGGAAGTATGAACACGAAGAACATATTATGAGTTCATAAAAAAAGACTAAGAACAAAGAGAGAATAATATATTTCATGAAGAACATGGTGGGAGAGAAACTCTCCCTGGGTGGGAGAACCCACCAACTTTCTTTCTCTCTAGAATTACATTGTGAGAAAAGTAACTCTAACTAAGGAAAAGATAAGCTAGCTAAAGTAATACATGACCAACTCTCCTTTATATATGAGGGAGAGTATTTACACCATAAATACAATAAAGGGAAAATACAACCTAATAAACACTCATTATTTGTGGAGCATTTCCATGCACCAACATAAAAAGCATGTGAAGTTAATGACGGTGACTATGATCCGGGTAAAACATTTTACTTTTATTTAATTATTTTATAAAAATTCATATTTATCAATTTATGAATCTAATAATGTGATTTATGTTTAAAAATCATAGCAACTTGGTGGGGTACGTTTGGTGGAGCAACTCCTCATTTGACAAAGATTGCAATAAGAATTCTTTCTTTAACTAGTAGTTCATCTGGATGTGAAAGGAATTGGAGCACCTTTGAAGGGGTTAGAATTCAAACTTCAAATTTCAGCAATTTATTTAAATTATAATTTTATATCATAATATTGTATATTTTTTACCATTTATTGTTTTTACGTTTGTAGATTCACACGAAGAAAAGAAATAGGTTGGATGCAAGTAAAATGAACAATCTTGTTTATGTCCAATTTAATGCTAATTTGATGGAAAAAAACAAAAAGAGAAAAGAAAGGAATATGGAAGTGCTATTAGCTAATGATAGTCACACGGCTCAAGAATAGATTGTTGATTGTGGTGATTGTGATGAAGATGGAGTTGGCATAGTTGGTGATGGTCAAGGAACCGATGAACTCGGACAAAGTTCAAGAACAAGAGAACTTTTAGATGAAGATTTTGCGTCAGGGAGTGAGGAGGAAGTATTTGAAGAAGTTGATTATGAATTGGATGGAGTTCACATCATGAAAGAATGCGGAGATAAAGAGTAGAAGCCTGTGAACAATCAAAAGTTTGATCTTATAAAACTTATTTTGGACTTTGTATGATGTTTTATGACCTGAATATGTAAACGTTTATGAATATTTACTTACTTTGGACCTGTATTGTTTGATGACTTGAATATGTAAACGTTTATGGATATTTACATATTTTGTTATTATTTTGTTTAGAGATAATCATATGATATAGGTAATATTTAAGTTTTTTTTTTTTACAATTAAGGGTCCCCGCCTAGGCGCCGATTAACCCCCGCCTAGACCGATTAAACGCTTGACCCAGTCGACCGCCGAGCGATTTTTACAACCTTGATATATATATATATATATATATATATATATATATATATATATATATATATATATATATATATATATATAGGGTTAATGAATTGCTTTGGCTTGGGTTTGGACCATTGGGCCTTATGTTTGGGCTTAAGAGTGCGTACGCGGGGCGTACCACTCTAAGTACGCGTTGCATACTCATGAGTTATGGAAGATGATGCCATGCGCGTACCCGCTGCGTTCCAAAGGGAACGCGCAGCGTACGCATGCAGTCCCCAAAACCCTAAATTTTGGGGTTAACCCCTATATAAAGAACATTATGCCCTAAAGTCCAGCCACCCTCTCACCCTTAGACAGCTTCCACGAAACCCTAATCCATATTGTGTGTGTTCTTGTTCTTCAAAGGCCACTTGAGAACATTTTGGTGTTGTTTTGGTGGTTTTGAAGAGCAAGGAGTTTGAAGAAGGAGCAAGGACTTGAAGAGAGCTTGTAGATCCAGAAGTTTGGCATCTTTTCTGACTTATTTGAGGTATCAAGCTCCAACATTGACCATTACATGCTTAGATGTAGTTTTGGGGTGTTTTATTGCATGCTTAGATGTAGTTTTGGGGTGTTTTATGTCACATTGCATCCTTTGAGTTTTGGATGAACTTATCCATAAGAGCTGTCGTTTTGAGCTCTTGGAAGCATTTAGAACCATAAAAACCAGATCTTTATGGTTTAGCCCCAACCATGCAAGTGATAGATGGCCACAAAGTGAGCTTATGGACTTAATGGGGGTCTTAATCCCCATCCATGCATGCAAAGGCATAAACTTCGTAAATGTATGGTTAAGGACGTTGTTAGGAGCCTAGATCTATGTTCTGGACGTTGGGACTTAATGGATTAAGTCAAAAGAAGAACTTTAGGGTGACTGCAGGAACGCGGGGCGTACCTCCTAGTACGTTGCGCATTCCGGGTCATTTTCCCGCTTTCTGGTCAAGGCAAGCGTACGTTGGGCATACGTGCCAGGTACGCCGCACGTTCACATAACAGAGTGATCAAGTGGTTTTTGAGCCGTAGGATATTGGGCCTGAGTTGTTGTGCCTCACGACCCACTGTGGAGTAAGGCCTCTGGGCCTAGGACTGGAATTTATGGTATTGGGCCTTATTGGGCCTTAAAGCTTGAAAGAATGGATTTGGGCCTTAATTTGATTATGGTTTGGGCCTTAGGGGAAAAGGCCCATTAGGGCAAGGATTAGGGGTCCTTTCCTTGGGACATGAATTAGAAGTTGGGCCATAAGAGAGTCATACTTGGACCCAATGACTAACTAGGGGACTTGTTATGCTTTAAGGAGAGGAATCCCGAGCTATCCGAGGAATACGATTTCGGCACACACAGTTGAGGTGAGTTACCTTCCTGTATGAGTGGGTCGAAGGCACCAATACCGGCCCACTAGTAGTTGTTTGTAGTAGAGATGATTGTCTTTGTGATAGGTGTCTGGTATGCCACTATTTGTTATGTTTTATGTGCTTATTTGCTATGATATTATATGGTAGTGGTAGGGGTAAAATAGACCCAGTATCCGGTTGAAATAGACCGAAGGGGAGGCCAGCACCCAGATATGCTCGGTAGTATCCGGTTGGAATAGACCGAAGGGGAGGCCAGCACCCAGATATGCTCGGCAGTATCCGGTTGAAATAGACCGAAGGGGAGGTTCGCACCCAGATATGCTTGACAATGTATTTGTTGTATGGTATGTGGTATGATGGGGGAACTCACTAAGCTTCGTGCTTATGGTTTTCAGTTTTGGTTTCAGGTACTTCTTCTTCGAAAGGAAATGAGCCGACATGATCGCAGCGCATTACACCATGATTTCCGCACATGAGATCTTTAGGAGTTATACTCTGATGTTGTTTTATTATGACATGTTTTGATCATTGACATATTGGTTGTGATATGGGATGACACTATGGATGTTTTCAGACTATAGGTTTTATAATTACTTAATTAAAAATGAAATTTTTGGTCTTTAATTTTGGGATGTTACAGTAGTAGTCGCGATGTTGATTTCGTAGATATAAGGAACGTTCGAATCTTACTTCGTATGAAGAACTTATGATCCTGTGAGGTTTCGCATTCAACCCACTATGACAAAGCGTTTTATAAAAAGTTAATTTTAGATAGGTTTCTTATTAGCTTAAGTAATCTAAACGAAATTCGGTGTAATCGTAAAAGCGAACTCGTGTATCTACAGAACGTCCAAGCTTGTTAAAAATATAACTTTAAAAATAAATTGAAATTAAAACTGAAATTCAAATCTGTTGATTGTTAGGAAAAAAAATCTAAATGGGAGTTGAAGATCTCGTGATTAGGAGTTTGTCGATGATATTGCCTTATTTATACACATTTGTAGGCAGTATTTAATACATTTTTGTTAATATTTTGGTTAATTGCAAAGATATATGATACTTATTAAATTAAATTGTATTTTGCAGCCAATTGGAACACTCTCGAAGAATATGGACCAAAATTGACAAGCATTGGAACTTTGGAGGATTGAAGATTAAAAGAAGGAAATTTCAGCGAAAAAACCCAACTCACGACGTGACACTAAACCTCATGATGTGAGGAGGGTATTCTAGAAGATTACCATGCAGGAAGTCAGAATCCTTGCCCGATATGGATTACTACTGAGCTCACGACGTGAGACACCAATTCTCACGAAGTGAGCAACGTATTTTCCAAAACTATAAATTATCCTTCACTCTTACGATTTTGGAAGGCTTTTGGAGAGTTTTCTAGAGGAAAGATATTCTGAGATATCAATTTTAGAGTCCAGAAAGTGCACAAAACATTCTTTTGAAGAAGAATTGTTTAGAGATTAAGAGATTGAAGAACACATCATCATATTGGTTTTTGTTTACTTTAATCATGTCAATTTATGTTGAGATTATGTTTTCGTTTTCAGCTATGAGTAGCTGAACTTATTAGCTTCCGTTTAGCTAGATGATACTTTAACTCTATGGTTTAGTTATCTAATTTATGGATTTTAATAGTTGGTTGTGTGCATGTTTTGATTATCATTACCTAACATGTTAAAGTTGTGATTTTGTTGCTTGAATTCAAGTTATGTGTAGTTTAGTGACCATTAAATTACATGAACTTGATTACCTAGTGATTTAGTGACCATTAAATTGCTAGAGCTAGAATCGACCAAATCTTAGAAAAGTAATAAAAGCAACAAATTTAGTTGTGCTAGAGAACATAAAGTGTGACCATAGTTGTGTTTTCTTAGATAAATCTTACATAGCCCATCTGTAATTAATAACTAATTATGTGTTTGCTTATGTATGACCATACAAGGTAGTTCATGAATTGATGAAAATATTAGTAAATTTGGACTTGAATTGCTAATTACATAATAATGGGTAACCAACTTTGATAATCCATAATTAGTAACTAACCATAGGAAAAATGTGGATTCGAACTAAACGAAACGAAAGTGTTTTTAGAATATTGATTAAAACCATTAGTTAATTGTTTAAGTTTGTTTGAACTTGAAAAATTAGATAAAAACTATTTTTAACTTTTGCTTGTTTTAGGTTAATTTTTAGTAATTATTTTAGTTAATTAAAATCTGGTCCCTGTGTTCGACCCCAACTTACTTTACTATACTATAATCTGACTAGGTACACTGCCTATAGGTGCAATAGTAGATAAGCAGTTAGGATATAAATTTAAAACTAGATAGGTATAATTAGAACCACATCAAGTTTATGGCCTGAACGTCGCAAGCAACACAACTATTACCACCTTTGGACGTACGCCCAACGTACCCTGGACGTACACCCAACGTACGGCCGTCGCCCAGCAACATATTTTTCCATTTAATTTGTTTAATGTTGTGGTTTTGTTTTGTGCTTAATTTTTGCAGATTATGGCTAGAAGAAATCAAAGAAGAAACCAACCCGAGGAAATAACCGATCACCGTTTTTTGTAATTCCCACAAAGTTTAAACGAAGAAACTCGTGGCAGATATCTGAACAAGCTTATTATACTGCTCACCAAAGAAATTGACATCACAACTTCATTCGATTGGGGATTGGCGTCCTAAACTGGACTTGATGAACTTATCCGGAATTTTTTGCAATACACCCACTTAGACGCGAGTGGTGTGTCTTTGTTTGTATGTCACGGTTGGGAGAGATTGTTTAGGATACAGGAACCTGTTTACCGGGAATTTTTGTTGGAGTTTTATTCTACAGTTTCCTTTGATCCTAGGAAGACCCCCGATGACAGGACAACATTTTCCTTTCGAATTGGTGGAGTGAGTAGGGAGTGCAGTGCGATTGAGCTTGCCGTTAGAGTGGGAGTTTATACTTTGGATGAGACGAGGAATGTCCACTTTCCGACATTCCTTGTTGATTATGTTATGGAACGTCCTATTGAATACAACGAAAATACATTTTGAGTATATATACCATCCACTGCTTGAGGGAAGATGATTCGGTCCACCACTTACTTATTATTACATAGCCTGATATCTATATCTCTCACGCATCATAAGAATTGTGAGAGAGTACCTTTTACAGATTTGTTTTTCTGTGGACCCTTGTTACACCAAGGAGACACCTGAACCTCCCAATTGCTTTAGCTACTTATATGGGGAGGAGGACCATGGGGCTTCGAGAGGATAACCCAATTTGTGGTGGGCACTTCATCACAC